ATACCATAATATATTAAAGAACTTCTACACAGCATTGTTATGTCAAATTGAAACCATCTACCCCAAATATAATTTTTAAAAGTAATTAAAGCTAATGTGACACTGGATAAATCATTTTTTTTATTCTGAAAAACTAGAGAAAGGCAGAAAAGACATAAGTCATGAGGTAATCCCACATCAAGCTGGAAATTGTTCAAAACATGTGATTTAAGTAATCCAAAGAAAAGTAATGATGGGCATATTTGCTCATACACAGCCTCCTTTTTAAGAGAAAAGAATTCTCTAGTACAGAGCTTCCTTTTGTATAAAGAGAAAATAGTTTGCTTAGGTGTAAGCAAAATCACAGGAATCAGGTTTCTGGTGTCTCTTCTGCATAGGCTGCACAGGTTATGGCTAAAGTCACTTTTTTAGGCAAGTAGGAAAAGTCTCATTTGAATTGAGGAAAGGGAATTGAGTCAGATGGGATAGCATCCCTTCAAGAAAGCCTTCAAGTCATGGTGAGTTTCAGAAGACTTGAAAGAATATCTTGCCCATCGCAAATCATTCCATTTCTTTTTTTCACAGATTAAATTGAGTCATTTCACTTCTTTTTTCTTCACTTCTGCAGTGTCTATCATGTTAGGCTGATATAGATCAGCATATATTTTAACTTTGTTTCTTTCCGTATTTTGAAACATTTCATTTCTTAACTGTTCCCGTCATTTTTTGGATCAACTTCAGACAAGCCATGACAGCGATAGCTAATAATTCAAAAAGGAATTTTATGCGTGTTTGTGGGACTCACCAAGTTCCTAGGGTACACAGTTGGGACTCAGTAAGTAATTTGAATAAATGATGTTTTTTTTTAATTTATGGAGAGAGGCATGTGATCACAGGGATTATTACTCAGGAACATTTTTGGGTTGCCCATTATACTCTAGCTACGTATCAGTGTATGATTAGACAATCCGTTAAGTATTGGATTCTTGCTGGTTTGATGCCTTCAAACAGTATCAGTCAGCTATTGCTATGTAAAAAAAATAATCACAAAATGCTCAGGTTACATATTTCTCATTCGTGCATCTGTTGTTGGCTGGCTGGAGTTTTGGTGGAGGCTCAGCTAGGCTTGCAGTTGGGCTCGTCTGTGCACGTCTCTCCCCCTCCTTGGATTAGCAGGCTGACTCGGCCATGTGTTCCTTATGGCACATAAGCACAAGAGGGCCAGCCCAAGCCCAACCATCCAAGGTCATTACAAAGCCTCTACTTATGCCATATATGCTAACATTCCACTGCCCACAGCAGATCAAGTGACCAAGTTCAAATTCCTAGGCCAGGGAAGGATTCTCCCTCCAAGTCTTGGTCACTCTACTCTGGGTACACTAACCTTTTTCTTGCTGTTCTTTGAGTAAGCCAGTCACAGTCGCCTCTCAAACTCTGCATTGGCTGTTCTCTCTGATGTGTTCTTCCCTCCACTATCTACATGGCTCCCACCCTCAGGTCCTTAAGGTTTTTGATTTTTGCTCAACTGCACCTCATCAATGAGGGCTTCCAAGACTCCCCTCCATTCATTCATTCTTTCCTTCTTTCTTTATCTTTCTTTCTTTCTTTCTCTTTCTCTCTCTCTTTCTTTCTTTCTTATTTATTTATTAGTTTCAGGTGTACAAAACAATGTAATAGACATTTACACCCCTCACAAAGTGATAGCACTCCTCCCCCAATCTACTACCCCTCTGACATTATATGTAACTTACAATTCCATTGACATTATTCCCTATGCTGTACTCCACATCCTGTGACTATATATATGTATTAAATCCTAGTTGACACTCAGTATTATTCAGCATCAGGTGTGTGTACAGTGCAGTGGTCAGGCATCTACACCATCCATGAATTCTCCCCTTTCTGAAGATTCTTTCTCACTGCCCCTCGCTACCCCTCCCTTCTGAATGTTCCCACCACCTGACATACCTGCATAATTGACTTGTCTAGCTGTTCAGCCTGTGCGCCTGCATAAGAATGTCAGTCCCATGGAGACAGGGCTTTGGGGTTGTTTATTGCTGAAACCCCAGCACTCAGAACAGTGCTTGGCATATAGTTGGCTTTTGATAAATAATTGAATAAATAAACTAACCTTACTGTTTTAAAATCTTTATGGTTTTTTTTAAAAGACATTTAATATGGCAATAACTACGTGTAGTGCTAGATGGGTACTAGACTACTCAGGGGGATCACTTCTTAAATTACATAAATGTTTAACCACTATGCTATACACCTAAAATTAATATAATATTGAATGTCAAGTGAAATTGAAAAATTAAAATGGGGGGGAAGGTGAAGGGGAATTAGAGGTTCAAATTTCCATATTTAAAACAAGTCATGGGGATGTAATGTACAGCATAGGAACTATAGTCCATAATATTGTGATAGCGTGGTACAGTGTCAGATGGTTGCTAGACTTATCATGATGGTCACTTCTTTTGGTATACAAATGTTGACTATTGTGTATACTGAAACTAATATAATCTTTTATTTTGCTATATTTTAATAAAAAGCTTAAAAACAAACAAAAAATAGACATTTAAAATCTGGCTCAGTATTGAATAGTCCCATCGTATTACTCTAATTTCAGGCATCATGTAGCTGTTTTAACTTTTCCAGTATACAGTAATACCTTGGTTTGCGAGCATAATTCATTCTGGAAACAAACTACTCGTATTGCAGGACATCACTCGTTTACCACATTAAAATGTATTAGAAATGTTTGCTCATCTTGCGAAACACTTGCAAACCACGTTACTCACAATCCAAGGTTTTACTTTAATTTGACGCAGAAAATACCAGGCGTTAAGCATTTTTCTGTGTGTTGATTCACCTCTACTCATGCATATATGTGATAAATCTGATTCTGATTCTTAAAAGATTAGTTAAACCCAAAGGATTTTTTTACTTACTGAGAAAATCTTGAGAAAAGAAGGTTATACTTTACTTGTGTATGTGCAACCTAGGATGTAATAGGCACTCAAAAATGTTTGAATGGATACATTGATCACTGCCATTAAAAAGTTTTCTATTAAAACATATAAGCCAATTTTACATTTGTACTTGCACAGTTATATTTGAGACTTACAGATGATAGTTTATCTGTAAAGATGAACTTGGCTGACATCCTTAGGTTTATACTCTATAATTTGATAATGAAATAATTCAGGGAGAGGAGTGCCAGTCACTTCATTGAACTGTGTCTGAATCTTAACACAGTACAATTGAGTTCCTAGAGCTCCAGTATGATGTATTTAAACTGTCAGAAATATTAATATCATTGTTCATGAGTGTCTCTGTTCGGATTTATTCTGTAAGGCATACTACCACTAAAGTGGATTTGGTGCCATGAAAAATGCCTCATGTTCCCCAGTTGAGCAAAAATTTGCATTGGTAATGGAACCAAAAGATGGAACCAACCCTGCAGTTGTCAGGATCCTGTTCCTTCTGCCAATATTTCATTCACTCCATCCTCACCAGCTAATGGTAGTTTACACTCAGGAAAAAAAGAAACTAAGGATGCTGAATTTCATTTTTTCATTTCCAAAGGCTTAAGTATAAGCCAGGAAGGGGGTTGGGGAGGGAAGATAGATACATACATAGGTAGGTAGGTAGGTAGATAGATAGATATTGTAAATTCCTTTTCCACCTTGTATCCTTAATTCTTCAGCATCCATTTCCTGTCCTTAGTATTTCAAAGAGTTTTCCTGTGATATGCTACCTAGGTCCTTAGCCCTCCATTCTAATAATGATATGTAGCCTCACATCCACCTAGGATATGATTTTGTCTTAATAGTGAGCATTGTCAAGGATTCTTTAAGCTTGTGCTTAAAAAACATGGATGAAAACTTAATAATAAATGTAGGATTATAATCATAGATGGAAATCTAACTGGCATAGACCAAAGGAAATGACAAGCGTATGTAAGTCATTAAATCACTGGCTCTCCAATCATATCCAAATCAGATGTGAACCTGAGGTTGTCCTTAAGTATGTTCATTATTGTTGATTTGCTGAACAAGGTCTTTGAGATGGAAGCGACAATGTGCTGAACAAATTGAAATTGAAAAGAAGTTATTCTCACTATTAGAAGATTGAATGAAAAATTAGTTTCCAGGGACCGTCAAAGTTCAAAATAATTTCATTTGCACTTAAGAAATTTCTCCCTTATTGAAATGCTATTTGAGGTGTATTTCTTTAACAGAGACAAAACCTATAAGATCAACAAAATGTACAAGGAGACTCCCATTCCCAGAGGAAGACCATACATGCCTCAATTCCTTTCCTACCAAATCATCATTCTCTCCTCACAAATTCTGAAAAAGGAAAATCATATTTCCCCTTACTAGCTTCTAAAAACATTATGATAAATTAGTCCCATGTAAGGAATGTAACTCCCCAGTGTACCCCATAGTCACAGTACTTAGAACATGAATATTTCATCACATATATATATAGGTCACTTACCACTTATTTCTCCCTGTTACGTTGGACTTCAAAGATACTTGAGTTTTGTTTGTATTTTTGGTTAAATATCAAAGGAAAGAATGGGAAAAATACCTCAGTATCTCCACTTCTTTTTTACCTTCATAAATGCAAAATGTCACAGTGTTATTTTCTTGCGTGTTGCAAAGACACTGCAAGTATCTTTTCAATACTAATTTTTCAGTATAAAGAAAAATGTTTCCCATTTGTTAATAGGGCATAAGAAACTTGTGTCAACTTTATCTTAACTTCTAAATGGATACACAGTTTTCTTCTCCAAAGATAATGACAGATAAATCCCTGCATGGGATTCTTCCCTTTAAGGAGTTGTTCCCTAATCATTAACCTTGAAGAGTTATTTTTATGTATGTTATTTATGAGCAAGTGGAAATGAATGTATAACGGACTTTTAAATGCAATTGCGGACCCTTTCTCTAGTACCACTGATTTTTTTTCTTAAGTGTAATATGCCATTATTTGTGTTTGCTTTCATTAAGGCGAGGAAGATCTTCTCAGTCCTCCCCAGGACACAAGCACAGGGTTAGAGGAAGTGATGGAGCAACTCAACAACTCCTTCCCAAGTTCAAGAGGTAAGCTCCACCGCCTAGAAGCAACTCGGACTTACTAGAGTGAGGCCACACGTTTCCATTCCCAGCTAGTGTGTATTTGCCATGTGTCAGTAACCACGTGCTGATAGAATGCCAATTCGGGTTCATTATGAGATTTTATTTTTAAATGTGATTTTCTGGTTTGGAATGAATTAATTTTCTAGCCTTGGATTCTGGTTGAATTCAAATCCCTGTGTACTCAAGACGTTTCTAGAAATAAGAAGAGTACCTTAGTCTGAAGAGTTCATTATGAGATAGTCTTTACTTAAGAGGAATGATGATGTGACTTTTACAGACAACTAAATTAATGCCCTGGTGGTGCTTTTGCCAGGGACACACAGTTACTATGTGATACAGCGAGGTCCAGGACATGCCTAGTGTACAGGGGTGGTGGGGACTCTGACTTGCAATGTGACGCCCTTCATATTTAAAAATTGAATCATTCCAGCACTTAAATACAGGCACAAGTAAATCTTTATATACTAGTTTGTTCATTTTTTTTACTTCCATAGATAGAATACAATCTTCACAAAGAAAGACATTAATCGTATTTTAACGCCTTGATTTCTCCCCATCACTTTGACCTTGTGTACTTTGCCCCTCCTACAAAACCAGCATTTTACCCCACCAAATGTTCCCACCAGCCAGTACGAGCTTCAGAGGTTTTGCCTCATCCGAGGAGGTACTGTGCCACTGTTGTTCATTTTTTGGAGTCTTTATTTACGCGAATTGCCCTGACATAAAACAAAGTCACTGACCCACTTCCCTTCAGTGACTAGAAAGACTGGCAGCAATCACCTGTGAGCCAACAGAGGAAAGCCTAGAGGAGCCGAACAGGGAAAACAAGGCTTTGTGGCCAGTGATTGGGCCCCCTAATGGGCAGTCTGGGAGGGAAGGGCAGCCAAGAACCTATTTGTTCCTCTCCATAAGGGCAATGAGGAGGGTGGCTGGAGTCGTGTTTTTGTTCAGCATAAGTTAACATTGGCCATTTCCTAGCTACTTGATGTATGAGTAAATGTTGTGCAGTTCACATTAAAAGCATTAATGTTCTTATAGAGTGTTGCTAAGGAACCATCAGGGGAAGTTAATTATAAATGTCTGCGCCAGCCATCTTTTCACCATCGAGCGCCTCTGATGTGTTGCTTCTCACAGATAAAAATCTTATCTGTCTTCCACCCACCCACCACCCTACATCCCACCACCTCCATCCCCATACTGACTATCTTAGCTGTCTCCTCTTCCTAGATGCCCTGATTTACAATGACAAGACCATATGCCCATTTGACATAAATCACAGGCTTTCTTTCACGTTTATCCTGCCAGCTTTCACTAGCACCTACTATGCACCAGTGGAGGGGTTAGGGATGCAAAGAAGTGCCAGGTTCCTTGCCTTCAAGGTGTGTATGGTCAATCGTGAATACAGACTTCCAAATTAGTTCAAATCACAGAACAGTAATATTATTGCTGTAGTGGAGATGGGGACAACACAAATGAATCGTAGAAGCATGCTTTTTGATCAATAGGGGGTGAGCCACAGGCCGAGCAAGTTTCTTCTTCAAAATCACACAGCTACTAGTACGGCCAGGGCTGGGCCCCACGTATAGCACACATTTCATTGACTCCAAGCTTTCCCTGGAAGGTCACAGACCCTGCCTCATCCCAGCCCCTTGAACTGAAAGCTAGTCACCTACTCTGTGGGAAGTTAGTGGCTACTTGTTGGTGCCTGCGCATTTCTTTCCCATCTAAACAACTAGGGTGTGACAGACAAGAGGCTACAGCAGGGCTCATGCTCTGATTCTCCCAGGCAACCCCTTTGTACTGGGCCTCTGGTCCATCCTAATTGTCTTAAAGGTGACATCTTTTGCACCCTCTCCCTGCATCCCCCTTTTAGCGTCCTTGAAGCTAGACACTACATGGGTATGGAAGTACCCACCTGCAAGACTTAGAAACATGCTTCCTCTGATACAGTATTTGGCAGTTAGCATCTCTGATGCTACTTGTATGATGTTGATTTACTGCTGTGGAAACTTGGGAAAGTATTCAGGCCTCCTGCATAGTGTTTACTGAATTAGTGCTTATGGAAGCAGTATTGTCCCCTGAGTGCTAATGTGAGCTTTCAAATATGGGTTAAGGAGGCTTTCTGTGATACCAATTCCAGTAACTAAATTCCTACTTATTCAGTAGTACCCCGGTGGCCTAGGAATGAAAATCATTGTCCTGAAGAAAACACAACCCAAAAAGATGTAGCGAGAGAGTAGATAAAGTGCTAGATCTGCCTGGTCTTCCTGTGATGCTGCGACCTTGACATTTTTTCTTCTCTTGCTACTTCCTGCCAAATTAGGCCTTATTATTACTCCTTTTTATGATTCTGCACCCAATTCCAATGTGTGGGGTTTTCCTCACACCAGCAAGCAATTCTTGGACAACAGCTGGGAATCCTACAATTCCACTTAGAATTCTGACACTGTCTATCTGGAGAGAGTGTCAGATCCCACAGGTCAAGGGCCAGCCCACAAGACTGCCTCCTGGTCCCCAACTTCAGATGCCAATCTCAAGTCCAGGTTGTCACCTGTGCTTCTGACCCACTGGCTGTGATTGGAGGTTCAAATGACCCTCTCCTTTGGGTTAGATTAACTTTCTAGAGTGACTCACAGAACTCAGGAAAAGCTTCCTTACTAGTTGCCTGTTTATTATAAAAGGATATAACTCAGGAATAGCCAGAAGAAAGAGACATGAGGGCAATGTATGGGGAAAGGGTACATAGGTTCTATGGAGCGCCACTCTCCACAAGTCCCCATGTGTTCACTCACACAGGTTTCCAAACCCCCTCCGGTTTGGTTTTTATGGAGGCTTCATCACAAAGGCATGATTGATTAACTCATTGGCTATTGGTGATTGAACTCAATTTCAGTCCCTCTCCTAGCCCTGGAGGTCTGGGTATAGGACTGAAAGTTGCAACCCTCTAATCACATAGTTGGCTCCACTGGCTACCAGCCCCCATCGGGTAGGTGCTCATTAACATAACAAAAGTCACCTCAGTGCCTCTATCACAGGAAAAGACAAAAACCAAATACCGCATTTTGGCATTTTGCCGTGTATAAGGCGCACAGGTTTGCCCACATTTGCGAGGGAAAAATAAGGATGCGCATTATACATGGGTAGTACTAATTCCGTATCTATATAAATGTTTTCATTTCTTTTATTTATGCTTATAAATTAAAAGTGTAACTCTAGAAATCAATAACAATATCCATATGCAAAATAATACCCTGGAATACGATAATCAGTTTTGTTGCACTTACCACGAATTTGCAACTTGGCCTTCTATAATGCGTAAATATCGTCAATTTATTACCAGTACATAAAATTTCTTGTACCTTGTATCTATTCTTGTGTTTTGTAATTATTTGTTACATAAAATTTCTTGTACCATAATACATTAAAAAATAAATGCTAAAATTATAATACATAAAACAAGTACCTAAACAAATAAAAATTTGAATTAAAACAAAAGATTTTTCCCCTGAAAGTTTGGGCAAAAAATGGTGCGCATTGTACACAGGAGCACATTATACATGGCAAAATATGGTATATGTTGCATATTATAAATCGCACTATCATAACTCTTTCCCCCACCAAATTCAAATGGATAAAAAGTCTCATTGTAAAAATAAGCTTATTATTAATATACTCCAAAAAGTGGATTTTGGGATGCCCTATTTCTAACTAAAAATTGGGTGTGTTTTTTTTATTTTGAAAGAATGGAGAATACACTGGAGTTGCCCAAAAAAAGTGTACACATGACTTGTATTCATCTTTTGTTATTGGTATATATTTATTGCAAATTTAATATAGTTTTTTCCTTTCTTAAGATGTCTATACATTTTTTGTCACCCTGTGTGTGTGTGGTAAGGTTTAATGGGAATCCTTACCAGTTAGTAGGTATTTTAGGTTGATATTAAACAGAAAATCTAGTCACATAAATGATGTATATACAAAGAACAGAAGCAAAAGTTTCAAGAAGCTATACTTTCCGTACTGCATATAATTCACACTGTTGCTCTGTTTTATTGATTGAAAAATAAACTACTGGTTGTGATCCACCAAATGGATTTTGCTGATCCAGTGGTTTAAAAATATTGATCTAACCAATCTCAGACTTCCTTACCCAGGTGGATATCTTGTTTTTAAAACTTCAGTTTTAGAGTTTTTACCATGGAAGTTTCTGCCAAGACCTTATTAATGTCTTACAGGACATTGTACTTTTATTCTAAGTCTGCCGTCCGTGTTCCTGTTATGTTACCAAAAAATGAAGTTCACGGTAGCTACAGCTGTTTCAGACAGCTGTTCGAGTAACTGAAAACAGATGTCAGAGCCAGAGGTCTCACATTTAGTAGAAATGTGCTCTTAAATACCACCTCACAGTTTACTTAACCCTGCTAGATAATTGTCCACAGAGGAGAACACCTTTTAAAAAAAAATACTATGTTGTCCACAAATATAAAGTATATAGATAGGGGAGTTACTGTGTACTTGAAATTTACAACTTCGTTACCCTCTCCCGACTCCCCACCACCACAGTTTCAACTTAGAGTTCAAGTCCTAAGGTAGCTGCTAATCTTCATCTTTCATGTTCACTAAAAGTACCTGGAAGCCCAAAGAACTGCAGTGCCTGGTTCATGGCCATTCAGCAAGTTAAATTAGCCTTCTGATCTTATCTCCATGGCCTTGCTAAACCATTATCCAAATTAATAAAGGGGTTGCATGCTTCTCCATTTAGTAATAAACGGAGGGCCAAACTATCCTGCATAATAGCCAATATAAACTGCAGGGTGTTCGAGGTGTGAATGTGTACACATTTAGCTTTGTGATTATATCTTTCCTGATTAATCTCTAGATATAGTTAGCTGTTCACAGCCACTTGGGGAATTTGAGTGGCTTGGTGTGAATTAAACACGGAATGTTAGCCAATTTCTATCTAATCTGTCTATTTATCTATAATCTGTCCATCTGTCTATAAGTATATGTGGAAGTTGAATTCCACTGTAATAAAAATCATTATCTGCTGCAAGACACTTTCTAAATCTTCACCGTTATTCTATAGGAACACTAACTACATGGGTAGAATGAAGAAACATAATTTAAAAAGGAACTCTCTAAGCGATTTGTCCCTATGTCTCTGATCACTTAGCAGTCTAACAAAGGTATTTTTATACATGTGCGTATTCATGAAAGAAATGCTTCCTGAGTCTGTGGTATGGTATTGGGCTCCCTAAAAGTGAGGTGCCACGGTACATAGATTAATGAATAACGGGATCCAAGATAAGCTCTTAGTGCAGGAAGACAATTCAGAAGCAGTTAGCAGTGCTATGTGCGTATTTCTGCTGCCAGTATAATCTCTTACCTGCTGATCTGTGCCACATTCATTCTATTCCCAACAGCCCATACCAGCCTCTCCCTCTCATACTACCCCTTCTGAATAAGCCCACACACATTCTGTTAAATACCTCTAAACGACCAGCCCAGCAGCTGTGCAAAACCTGCCATCCTTTAGAATTCAAGTCTTATCTGTGCTGCTTTGATGGAAGAGCAACATAAAGAATCACAGCAGCAGGCCGACCGAATGGCGCGATGGTTAAGAACCGGCTTGGGACGCCAGAGGGCCCCGGTTCGGATCCCACATTTGAGGGCCAGTGACACTGCCCTCCACAGCTAAGATGCTGAACAACAGCTCAGCCTGGAGCTGGGCTGCCGTGAGTCGCCGGCGACCGCGTAGGCTGCAGCCCCTGTGGCAGTGGGTTGCCATGGGCTA